GGGAAAGCTTTTTTTTTTTTTTTTTTGTAAGAGGGGGAAACCCGCGGCCGTTATAATCTCTGTCACAATTTCTGCCTTTCGGGTGAGCACTTTGTGCACACTGAATAAACCTTCCATGTATAATAGTCTGCAAACCACACAGGGGATGTAAACCGCACTAGACAAGTTTTGTGTAACAGACTCAACCCAAAAGACATCAAGGCAAATCGCCTTCCAAACCAAATGGGCAACTCGGGTGAAAGCTGTTATTAGCAAAATTACGCTATACGGTCAACAACGTGCTTAACGCGATCACTTTGGGTATTATTTATATGAGAAAATGATCTGATCCCAACACCTTTTCTCTAATAAGGCTAATCACTTTAACTTACTCAAATTCATATTACCTTATGCACATTTAACTAATAAAATATTCCCCACAAAGTAGAATACTAAATTCTATTCACCACCCTTTTGCTTAAGAAAGTTAATCACATTAAGTAGTGCAAGTATTCCTCCACATGGCAATGTGAATTTGAAAAAACACAATAGATACAAGTGGCACTGAACTTGCCTCATTTTCTTCTTTTTTTCCCCCTCAAATCTAAGACCCTAATACTTTCCTCTTTTTCTTTTCTTTTTTGCTTTTTTGGGGCTGCCTTATTCAAACACATCGAAATATTAAATCCAAGATTGCTTTGCCACAAGGCAGCTTAACAAATATTAAAGTTAGACCCGAATAACGAGATTCCTCAAGCAATAGCAGCAGGTAAAAATAGCACGGCTTAGTCAACTTTCGGATTGTAATTGAAAAATAGCTATTATTTTATTGAAATACGAAAAATTCTAACATAATATATTAGATCATGGAGCTCCTGCGAAGNATATATGCGCGTCTTTACAAATAGTGATATATTAGTAACAACACCCTATATACAAAGCAAATTTTGGTAGAATATAAAAGTGCACCCGCGATCTTCAAATCCTGGATCTGCATCTGCTCCTGCGTATAAACTTCCAGCATATTATGTTGGAACTCCAGCATGAAAAATTCCAACATAGTATGCTGGATATGGAGCTCCTACATTTAAACTTCACGCATATTATGTTGGAACTCCAGCATATTATAAAATTCCAATATATTATACTGAAATCTCATATGTAATAAATTCGAACTCCAAAATATTATGCTGGAATCTTTTCGAATTTTTAAGGGTGTTTTTGTTCAGATTATATCTTTGCATGAAAAAGTGGCTAAATTTCAATTACTTTAAAACTGTGACTATTTTGCAATTACCAGTTGTAAATCTGGCTATTTCTGATTTTTTTTCCTAGTTGCAACTGATTCTCCCCAAAAATACATGTATCAATTTTAGAAAAAGAAAAAAAGTCAAATACAATATATCAGCACTGCAGTAAAGATTGAGAAAATATCTTACAACACAGAAATTGCTCAAAACTTCATCAAGAATCAGCTACACTGGCAATGCATTTCCTCTAACATCAACAAAAACTCAAATAGATTATCAATTATACCGGACCGTGAGATATCAGACAGTGCACTAGATTAATATAGGGTTTCAAGTTTCTACACAGCTATTGGCTTAAAAGTTACATTTCATGAGCAGAGAGGATTGAGGATAAGAACATTGGACACAACAACAATCTTTTATCTCTTCAGAGAATCCAAGAACTAACCAAATTGTGCACTTGTTCATCCACATCAAAGAGGCCATCCTTGGGTCAGAAGCATATGCCCCTGAGACAGGAAAGCAAATGAACTCGCAAGGGATAAGGCAAGAATGCTAAAGAAATACTGCAAACAAACGTATATATCACCACAGAATTAAAGACGCCTAAACATGCTAATTACAGACTTATCATTGTAGTAAAAAACTTATTAACTTAAAACTAAAATAGATACGACTTACTCTCCAACTATTAACTTAAAACTAAAATAGATTCGACTTACTCTCCAACTTTTGATATGGATATCTTGATGATCACATATTTTTCATCAGGACTTCAGTGTAGCCAACTCAGAGCTGCTGAAGTACATTGATTTTTGTCACCTACTCTAACCATCAAAGTAACTCGAGGAAGCTAATTACTTTAGTTTCTGGTAGAAGGGACGTTCAAATTCTCATCTGAAGCAAGTTGCCAGATATAGTTGCGTAGAACACTAGTAACTATCCACGGATTCTGTAGATTGATCTTGCTCAATCTTTAATCATTGATTCCAGAACTTCGTGGTAGTCAGTTAGAGAGCTAGAAAACAGCAAATATTTCTAGTGTAACTATTAACAGTAATTACACTACAAAAAAAGAAGTATTTTTTTATCGGAACTACTCAGAGAAGTTTAAGACAGGTCAGCAAAGACAATCTATTCGCCTGTGAGAGAAGCTGCCAACCATCTCAAGGGCCTGGAGGCAAGTAAAGGTTGACTTCCTCGAGCAAAGAAGCACAGACCTGCAAAACTTAAACTGATACACAAGCACTGCAACTCGCACTTTAAAAATTCATAAGTTGCACAGTTGAAATTAAAGAAGAGACACATCTTTGCCAGACGCCCAGGTTAAAGATATGCAGAATGATTAACAGCATATGAAACAGTTTATATGAAAAACTCCAAAGTTACTTCAACGATTATTACAGTCTGATATGATGTACTGAGGAAGACTTAAAACCAATTTACTTCCTACAAACAGCTCCAAAAAACATAATTTTAGAAAAAGAAAAAAAAGACCAGAAAATGACACAGTACGCAATAATGCTACACCCTATGCACTTGTAGAAGGTCTGCAATCACAGCATACAGAACATTATTTCTCTAGATGTTGCCAAAAGGAAGGCTAAAGTTTATCTACTCTTTAACTCCAGATGAAATGTCAGCCAAATTGCAAGAAAGAACTTCGCAGAAAAGAGACTAACATTACTGAGGTAAAACTTAGACAAGTCACCATAGTAAATACTCTTCTCTGATCATTCATTTCCTGGTTCTTCATCTTCTGTATTTGTCTGCACAACAGCTTCAGCATCAGGTAGAGAAGCCTCCTCCATAGTTTCATCTCCAACGCCTGCATTATCTGATGACTCAATGTTGTTTTTACCATCTTCATTTCTTTGAGTAACCTCAACCTTGTTCTCATCCCTCACATTCGCATCCTCGTTTCTTTCACACTTAATACCAGCATGTGCAATGATTTCGTTTTTAGGAGGTTCATCATGCAGAGTAAGATTAAATTCTTCATGTCCCTCCACTTTCTCCTCCTGTGCAGATTCATTATCCCCATCATTTGCCTTGTCTTCCTCCGCTTTCACATCCCGGTCTCCTCCTTCCATGTTCTGTTCAAGGAATTCCACATTATGTTCTTCTGCAGAATGGGACTCTCCATGGCTTTCACTCTCCTCAGACTCATTCTCCACTACCTCCTCATTAATCTCGTCAAATCCACAGCCCTGCCTCTCAAGACTTTGCAACCTCCTCTTCAAATCACCAAACTCTCTCTCCATCAAGAACAGCCTCTCCTTCAATATCAAATTCTCTTCCTCCAACTGAGCAATATGTGAATCCTGATCGTCCACACGGTTCTCCAAAACATTGTTATACTCCAAACCACCAGAATTCGGGTAAATCATCTCAAACCGGCTCAAGTCATGATCCAATCGCCTTTCTACCTCCACGTGTTCTTCCACATCACTCTCGCTTGATCCTCCTTCCTCATCTTCCTCTTCTTCCTCGTGTAACTCCATCTCATGTCCCGGTGATCTCAATCTAATCAAACCCTTCATCGATCCATACCCATCAACCCCCCACTCCTCCTTCGCCATATCCACCAATACCTCCCTCGACGGAGAGAAATTTGGAGTTGGCAATACTGCCGGAGTCACGGGACAGGGTGACACCAATGAGGCAATACCACCACTCTTCTTTGCCCGAATAATAAACGACGTCGTGTTCCTGGGAGCAAAAGGGGCACCCATATTATTATTATTATTATTATTATTGTTATTGTTATGATAAAATTTCTTCTTAGGGAAAAATCTCTTGGCCTTTAATCTATTCTGATATTGCAATTCATTAAGTGTTGGTGGCTTATATCCACCACCAAATCCTCCAACATTTCCATCACCACTTATATACCCAGTAGCCATTATGGCCTTTTCTTTTCTCCTCCCAATATCCACCATCCTCTTATCATTCTTATTTCCCTTTTTACCCTTCCAATTGTTCCTAGGTCCTAAGTTTTTCGACTGCGTTCCTCCGGCAACAAATCCATGACCCTTCATAACATTAGGGTTTTGAAACTTCATCTGATCAATTGTCATTGTCGGCGGCCACATCCCATGGCTCCGAGTCATCATTGATGGTTGCGGCTGTTGCATCTGTGAATGAAACTGAGGTTTTTCAGATTGAGTTTAAGCTGTGCACCGACGATGTAATAAAATAATTACACAATCAGGTAATTGCAGATAACTCTATCTAATAGATCTGATTGGTTAATCTTTAATAAATGGTAAGTAGCACTAATGGTGTACAAAAATAATTTAAATTGTATGCATTGACGGTGTATAAAATATTTACACAATTAGGTAATTGCAAGTAAACTCTATCTAATAGCACTGATTGGTAACCATAAATAAATGGTAAGTTATACTGATGGCACAAAATTCATTACACTACCAATGCATATAGCAAATTCACTTAAACGACGTCGTATTCACATAATAATGAAGCAAATTTTAATTAATCAATTTGATTAATGATTACCATCTGTTGTTGTAGTTGAAGATGAGGATTCATGATCTGAGGTTGATTCATACTCATCATCACTTGTTGATTCATCATCGATCCTTTTTCGTTCATAAGCAACAAAGATCAAAACCCTAACCCAAAAAAATCAAATTGAAGATCAAAATTAGAACCTCAAAATACTCTAAATGTATAAAAAGCGCTAAATCAACGACAAATTAATCCAAATCCTTACCCTTCAAAATTATTGATTAAAAACCCCCAAAAAAACGAAAAAAGAAAGTCGAAGTAATTCAGAGAAATTTAGATAGATCTATAGAATTTTTTCTGAATTATTGATTTCACCGAACAAATTTAGAATATTTCTAGAAAATTTGAGGATTAATTTTGTTGAGATTTATTCTTTCGGATTCTTCAATTATAGAGATTATTTATATCGCGTTTAGATGATGTGGTGAGGAGGAAAACAGAAAATATAATGACGGAGGCTATATATAAGGAGTGAGGAAGAAAATCGATGGTTAAGATTTTTGGTGATGGAGGACTAGCTGGATGAATGACACGTGGTTTTAAGAAAAGAGACCTTGTTTGCTTAAGCAATTACAGAATTGCCATTGTGCAGGTTCTTTTATTACAAGGAACTCCAACTAGATATAAATATGACAAATGACTTCAATGAAGTTTAGTACAATAAACTCTCTCTGTCCTAAAATTATTGTTATTTTGGGAGCTGCAAAAATTATTTATGAGTATTTTAAGTTATATTTAATTTTATTTTTTGTTTGGTATGATGACAATATAATAAGCTTAACTGAAAGATTTAGTTTTGTTATTTTGTTTAATTTTATTTTTCAATTCTGCTTTATTACCTTCCACCGTTGTTTGTACGAATGATAAATAGTACTCCACTAAAGAACTCTTCACTTAATCTTTATTCTTTACGTCTTGTTCGCAGTAATTTGCACTAAAATTATTTCCATTCTGCTCTATTCAGACAAATATCATGCTAATACTAATCCCAAACAAATCCAATTTCATATTATTTCGATGAAAAACAGATAACTGTAAAAAAAGATTTTAATTCCTATTTTTTTCTTTTTATCCAATCCATTTGATAGATAAAAGATCGAACACATTTGGCAGAAAAATTCCGCTGCAATAATCCCCGTGGAAAAAAGTTCTGCTACTCATTTTATAATGGTATGCCAAAAATAGTCAATGACAAAATCCTAGACCATTATCTAATGTATATCATTCATCTGGTATAGCTAAACATATCTGAAAACTATACACAATAAATTTACAACGTATGTAAATGAACAAAAGACGCAGCTCAATAATAACTTACTCTAACAAAAACTCCTAAAAGTGATACAACAATATGAACTACTCCTCTGTACAAGATCAGAGGAATATGAGATATTATAAACCAGTGTTCGGATTGTTTCCAGCAAGGATGAGAGATATCTCCAGCCCTCGACTGAACGCTTGGTTGAACATAAGCCGGGTTTGAAATGTTGAAATGAAGGGGAACCAAGAAAACAGTGCAATTGGGATGAAGATGAGCATCCCCATACCAGCATCGTACAAACGAGCAACTGAACGGAAAGACTTCCACATCCCCATTTTCTTGATTAGAGGCTTCCATGCTGTAGCAATCTGTCGAATGATGAAACATGCATTTGCCAGAAATTAATACAGTCCAAAAGGGATAAAGAAAGATGTGCACAATCAAAAACATGATTTGTATACAAGGTATAATGTCCTGTTTCAGTGAACATCAATGTATATTGTTTACCACTTGGCAACGAAACTTGACTTTATCCTAATTGTATAAATGATGCAAACTGAAACCAAGGGCAAGTTACTACTGATGTGGCTTTAGATTTAGAAATTTATTTGCTTACTTGACAGTAAGAGATGAAATTCTAATATCAGTGAGTTTCCCTCTTTTTCTAACATGCACACAAACTGTCATCAATATAGTGGAGCAAAAGAAGACCTACCGAGAGAATTCCCCAGCCAGTGGGTATGAATGCTAAGATGCATGCGAAAACATCCGTGACAGTAAGATCAGTAACTACAATCGCGGCTGCTAAACCAGCAACGGCAAGCAAAAACGATAAGCCTTGGACGAAACGCAGCAGCAACTGAAAATTAACTGAAATTTTCTGGCTGAAAGTGAACACCTGTGGCATCCCAAAATAGTAGATTTCATTTGAATATCCTCAAACTCAATTTTAGAAACTAAAACAGATTAAAAACTTGGTTCAAACCTTGAAGAGGACTAAGATGACAGCAAATGCAATCCATGAAAAACCATACACCTGAGAAACAATAAAGACACAAGGACCAGCAGTCAGCCATCACTCAATAGATAGTTAATACTTGTCATATCAAAATTGATTGTACATGAAACAGAACACCGAGAGCAAACGTGGCAGAGGGTAACGTCAAGAACCAAGTTTTCTCCAGCTCAGCATACCTCACTACTACGACCTCTAATGAACTGTATGTGGTTCACAGTTGAATCTATATACTTCATCAGATACGTATCTTGTGCTTAAGATTGTAAGACCTAACAATGAACTTTGTTCTCTCATCACCAATTGAGTGGTAGGAAAAATTGTTTCCTCACAACATCAAAGTTCATGCATACAAACTTCGGTTAACTGACTTGAGTTCTTCAAACACGTGGTAGATGCAAATTCTACATGTGCATACTGAACGTTTTACAATATGATGAAAACTAGGCACGTATGCCCCCAAAAGACAACATCACTATCGAGTCTTTAAGACCAAATTAAGACAGATATGGAACAATATTAACAGGAAATGTGTAGCAAAGAAAGGAGAAAAGTTAGATAAAGAGTAACAATAGTACCGTTAAAGATGTATTTGTTCCCTGAACATCTAACTTGTAGACAATGCCATATTGGAATATAAAAAATCGTAAGCTAAGAATGGTCTCCATCACCCTCCCTCCAAAGGTTCGAATATGAGCCTGTCAAACAACACAAAGGTGACGTCAAATTCTTTTAGAAGAGTATGAGTGAAATCAGGAATTGTCAATACACTCTAAAGCAGCTACACATCAATAGTTAAGGAAAGAAGCATAGTTAATGCACTCATCTCATATCGAAGAAATAATAAAGGAGAATTCACATAAAAAATATATAAAACCTGCTTATAGTAACTAATTCAGAAAAGTGTAGCTTAGCTCACAAGTCTCGAGTAGATATACAATACGCTTATACATTATAAGCATCCCAACATCTAATTCTGATATTCCATATGCAGGGCCAAAAGCAAGAAAGGCACACATAAATATGATCACAAAGAGGGGGTAAATTAATCCACTGTAAGTAAGTTTTTCGGTAAGTAATAAAAGCAAAAAATAGAAAATGAAAAAGAAGAGTAACGACAAAACTCCACCCCTTTGAACTTCTTATAATCAGTTGTGTACCCTTACACTTTCACCAATTCATAATAAACCAATACAAAGTGTAGAAAGCACTTGCATTTTTGTAACTTTTGGGATGAACTAGAAAAGATGTTATGACAGCGAAATCGACTCATCAGTTGAATTCAACACCAAGAGGAACTTGACATATGTGGTGACGACCCATTTTAAAGCATCTATGTCAGTAGTTTAGCACAAAACCACACAATTTCTCAGGCTCAGAGAATTGATTACCCCTATTTTATTTCTCATTAGTAAACTATGGAGATCAATAGTGAAGGTCAATAACCACATTCTTATCAAAGTAGAGCTCATACCAGTTCCTCATCCCACCAGGCTTCCCAACTTTCTTCCCCTTTAACACCAATTCCACCTCTATAAAGGAGCCAGTTGGTCCAGTCACGGAAGTCCTCCACTGTCCTATAGAGGAACACAAGAATGATGACAAGAAACAAGAAAAAATATATGAACGTCCAAACATAATAAAGCATTACTTACTTCTGCCATTCAAATCCCGCTGGATTAAACAAATATGGAGCAAAAAGCCAAGAAACAGCTAAGAACCAACTGCTAACAGTGAGAAGTATGTAGGATAAAGCACCATCATTGTAGCCATAAGCAGCATAAACCACCAACAGAAGCACAATTTCCATGCTGAAGAAGGTCAAAGATTGGTAAACTATTTGATATTCCCACAAGAACAGAAAAGAGCTATGACAAAATGACAACATAGATATGCGCACATGTGTGTGCATGCACTCAAACTGACACACACACACACACACACACACACACACACACACACACACACACAGAGAGAGAGAGAGAGACCCCTTTACGAAATGACTGCGGGAGTAAAGCCTGTAATTCTCAGTAAACTTGATGTGTTTAACGACAAACCCCCTACCGGTTGCATGATACTGTTAAGAAAAAGATTTTCTGATTAGTTCTATGCCAAGATATAAGAATATTTGAGTAACGAGGAGGAGATGGACCAACTTTTGCACCACCATGGAGGATAGTCCGACCGAAGTAATGTGTCCTAGTGCCCAGGGAGAATGTGAAGAAGACAGTGCAAAGCTGAAACTGCATAGTGACAAAACTAACAACAGCCTGCAGCGACAAGAATGATGTCAGTCAAAGCAGAGAATAGACAGGCAGTTAGAGGCCAAACAAGAAGGTTATGCTCCATGAAAAAAAAGCACTAGATTTGAATGTGAAAGACCACCCCAAAAAAAAGTAGCAAAGCATTTGATGAGTTTTCCATAGAGATCAGTGGCGTTCTCCAGGATTTTTTTTGGAGCTATTGCAAAAAGTTTTAGCATGAGCTATGTTGCTCGGACTCTTCGACAATGTAGTTGGCTGCGTGTCGGATCCTCCAAAAATAGTGTATTTTTTAAGGATATGGCACGAGTGCGGCAGCATTTTGGAGAGTCCGCGCAACATAGAGCATGAGACATTGTCTGTTTAGATCTTCAAGAAGTTTGTTTGGAAAAAAAAAAACAGTTATTTGAAGAAATGGTTTGACAGTGTTTCTTCAAAGAACAAGTATTTTCCACTCACAGAACAATTACAGATCTTCAAAAGTAATACAGCTAACAAAACGCATTCTTTTTTCGCACAAACTTCTTTTTCAAAATATTTTTTTTTCAAAAGTTGTCCAAACGGTATATCTTTTGTGAGGATTGCTAACAAGAAAGATACTACAAATCTAAAGCTAGGAAGGTAAAGTAGATGCAGAAAACAGAGAAATTATTTCCAAAAGATTGAGAAGAAGCTCAAAAGGCGAAAATATAAGCATCATTCCTCAAGGATAAGAAAAACATACTCATTGGTCGCTCAATTAAGATTTTGTAAGCAATTCAAGTAATTGCTCAATTATTAGTCAATCATGTTTGGTAAAAGAATAGAACTTCTTTAGCATAACAGATCAAACTATGAGAAGGACCCTAAGAAACATACCCTTAGGAAACCTTGTTCCAGAATGAAACCCAGAATCATAGGAACCGCTGTAAAGACACCAATCTGAAAAAGAAATTGTGCATTGAGAGCAGCACTGAGTGCATCATTGTCTGATATATTAGCTCTATCCTCAATAGTGGCACCAACACCAGATAACGCCTGAAAAAAATTGCAGATATTCAAAAAGAGGCAGGCCATGAATATTACATATAGTTCTTGAATAGTCTGACAAACAGCACGCAAAGAATAACATTGACAAATCAAAAAGGTGAATGGAAATTGAATTTTGAGTCCCGTGCAGAATCTTTCCACAGAATCCACAATTTGGAAGCAGAAGTTTGCTTGCTCATAGAATTATCGGCTCATAGAATTATCAAAATGCTAACTGCACCATGAGAATAACACTAGTGCAAAGAAATAGGTCAACTAAATGAGCAATCCTAACTTACTTTGAAAGGTCAAACTGTATACCCTATCTGTAATAGGGTAAGCATCTGGAGTTATAAGCAATACCCAAAGTACCCAAAAGCAAAAAATTGTCTGAGTATTTACCAGATATGCCTTGCCATAGAGAAAAGCATAAACACTAAGCACTGTCAACTGCACAAAAGTTTAAAAGGATCAGTCAGAAATATCACCATATACCTGGCAGTTGAAAGCTGCAATAAGCATACAAAGCACAACCCATATTATAGCTAAAGCACTAAAGCCTAAGGAGATCACAACTAACACAAGGGATGGCATTTAGAATGCGAAATTATACCATTGTGCAGAAGTAGTATCCGACAGTTGTAAAGTAGAACGATAACATTCTAAAGAAATCAAAGAGCTGGCCGAGCCTGTAAACATCTCTACTGAGAACTTGTTCACCATTACCACCAGCAACTTTGCCTTCAAATAATGCAATCTGGTTGAGTCCGACATCTCGTCCCTTGCCGACCTGTATGATTTTAGTTTAGGCACTGCCATCATATATACATTCAAACACAGAATGGCTGGCAAATTTACCTGAATATATTCATGGTGAGTAATATTTCCCTGCCGTAGAGTTGAACCAAACCCTGCATTTATACTTGAAAAATTGAGTACTACGAGCATGCTTGCCCAAGGTTCCAAAATCTACTTATTCCGAGTACTTTTTTTCAAATGGAGTTTTTGAAAGAAAAAAAACACTTTCGGATTGCAATTTATGCTTACCCATATCATTTGAGAATTGCTTTTGTTAATAGTATAAAACGGCTTGTGTTTGGCCAATCTTTCAAAATAGTGCTTTTGAGCGCCAAATTATATAAAATACATGTAAAGATACACTTTACAATTATCATAATTTAAATATATTAATGATTTTAAATATTTATTATGAGAGATTCTTAAGTTCATTTTTACAATGTAAAGAAAAAATCACCAGAGAGAGAGAGAGAGAGAGAGAGAGAGAGAGCAGGTTTATCAGTCTTTGGCAAAAGATGTATTGTCAACAATGCATAATTCTTTGTCTGCACTATGAGAAAGTTTGATAAATACTCCCTCCGGTCCACGATAAATAACCAATTTGCCTTTTTTATTTTGGTCCAAAATAAGTGTCATTTAATTAAGGGTAGTTTGGTCACACTAACTATTTTTATCTAGAATTTTGTATTTCCTTAATGGGTGTGCCCAAGTCAAATTGGTCACTTATTGTGGACCGGAGGGGGTATAAATTTTTGGTAAGCATATTTTCGCCTTGGAAGAATTACATGGAAAAGGGTCAAAATTGCCCCTCTACTATAAAAATGATCAAATTTACCCTCTATTATACTATTGGTCTAAAAATACCCCTAACAATACACAAGTGGCTCAAATATATATATCCCTCCTCCGTTAAAACCGTCCAAGGTGGAAACTCAATGCCACGTGGCACGGACACCTTGGTGATGCAGACACCACGTGGCATACCACCTCATCACCCCAACCCATTTTACCCCCTCCCTCTACTACTTCTCCTTGGCCAGAGTAATTTCTGCAGCATTACTACAGTAAAGAATTATTTGCTTCAAGATTCAAAAGTACCACATACAAGGTGATTATCAGGATTCGGCGTAACCAATTCGTCAAGTGGTCACGCGTTAATCCAGTTGAATGAGACCTTCTTAGACTATGGGAGAAGAAAAAAGAATCCCGAAGATGAGGGGATCATGACTGCCATATCAAATCCAGGATCCATCTATTTAAGATAATAAGGCCAATAACCCCTCTTTAGCACCAAAAGAAGCTTAATCATAGTACGCTTCATTCCTTCCGCACCCATCAAGCTCCACAAAAAGTAAGACGTAATATTTGCTTTCTCCATAGGCTTAAAATTGTAGTTTCGATCTTTCGTAATTTGCTTGAGGAAGAGTAAACAGACCCTCATGAAACTTTGCAAAGAAATTCATTACTGGGCTGATTTCTAAGATAAAAAAATTTTATTCCTCAAAAATCACGTATTGATGGTGGAGTGGTGGTGGTGGAGAGGGAGGAGGTGCTAATGTGGAAGAAGAAATGAAGATGAGAGGGTAAAATGGGTTTGGGTGATGAGGTGGCTGCTACGTGGTGCTCACCTCACCAAGTTGTCGGTGCCACGTGGGATTGGATGTCCACCCTAGACACCTCTAACGGAGGAGGGGTATATTTGAGCCACTTGTATAACGGTAAGGGTATTTTTAGACTGATAGATAAACTTGATCCTTTTCTTATAGTAGAGGGACAAATTTGACCCTTTTCCCTAAAAAGAACTTCTCCAGCTTCTGCTTATGCTTTCAAGAAGAAGCTATATTTTTCAGTTTCTTCCCCGCAGCAAAAGAAAAAAAAACTTCTGCCGCTACTCAAAAGAACTGATTTCTTTTCGGAAACTTAGTCAAGCACCTTAACTATTCAAATTAAATACTTCTTTTCAAAAAAATAAGCACTTCTAGTTTTACAAAAGCTTGGTCAAACAAAATACTACTCACTAGTCATGACACAGTAAAACTCATAACGAGGACACTGAATAATTATACATGCAGCAGAATATCAGGTCACTAACTTTTTCATGTCGGTTAACTGGTTGAAGATTTAAGAGAAATGAACCAAAAGAACTAGGTTCCAATCAAAATCGGAGAAGACACAAGCTGGGAACAAATATGCTAGCTGGCCAGAGAAATCATATGAACCTATGGTAATATTATTAATCTAGGGGACATCATCGTATATGAGCAAGCTTCCAACTAAATAAATGTAAAATGGAGAGCACAACGTGCATGCCGGTGGAGTGCTTGGCAGCAAACCATTACCTGCATAGATGTCTTCACTGATATTAATCACACGCGAGGCTTTGCTGATACCACCTCGAGTAATATGGAAAATTCTGTCAAAGACATCTGGATGTCCATAGTGCATACGAACTCTGAGGAATTTTACAACCTGTCATAAACTGACTCCCTGGTGCAATATAAATATCAAAGTAATGAACATGCACTCACTTCAAAGGATTTGCCAGAACACGCTGGCCCATAGTCACAAAGCTTGCTTCTTGGTTAGACATGAAGGATGCCAACGAAGAAACACTGAAACGCAAAAAACCATATCAGATGACTGTCAGGAAATACAATGACAGAAGAAATATATCATTAGATCCAAAATCACCTGCCAGTAAACACATGCTCCCTAACACCAAGAATTGTAGCGGGATGAATGCCATGATTAAGGAAGAACTCCTCAAGAAGATTTCTCACCTTCAGAGCCTCTTCAAAATAGTTATCCTATGTTTGATAAATACATAGAGATAGGGTCGAGGTAAGCAAGGTATGAACGAAAGCCTAATGACAATGAAGCTGACAAAGATATTATCTTTGAAAAAGAAATACACAAGTACAGCAGGCACTTCCCCTTCCTAAATCCACTTCAATTTCACCAGTCTCGTGAAATGCGCCCTTCCCTTTCCTAATCTACTTCTATTTCACCAGGCTCATGCAATGATTTGACTTAAGATTGGGTATCTCAAAAGAAAGAGAGCCTCACTAATTCTTCCATTGGGTATCTCAAAAAAAGGGAGCCCCGCTAATTCTCCATTTCACCTAGACTATCACGTAGCAAAATCACCCAGGAATTCTAGAATCTATCTGTAAAAGCATAAGAGATTGCCCAGCATGTATGATGTCTATCCTGCCAAGGATGAAATCATTGTCGCTTAGACCTCTCCTTACCTTTGAAAATAGGTAAGAATTATGTATATTAAAAAGAAAAACAAAGTTAGAAAATTAGATGGTTCCCAGATGATGACAAAGGGCCAAACTATCCACTTCAAAGTACTGCTAAAATGATTATTCTCTGTAGAACTACTAGAAAAACTTCACACTTGAATTGGGGTTTTTTTATTCTATCATGATGAAGATGGGATTTGCGGGGGAGCATAGGATATGGATCAGATTTTGTATCACGACGGTCAGGTTCTCTATCTTGGTAAATGGAAGTCCTTATGGTTTCCTCCGCAGCCCAAGGGGATTGAGACAAGGGGATCCGTTATCCTCCATGTTATTTATATTGGTGATGGAAGAGCTGAGCAAAATGACGGATAGAGCAGTGACTTGAGGTTTCATGATGGGTTTCACGGCACTGATTGGGCAACAGAGTAATGTGAAGGTCACGCATTTATTGTTTGCAAATGATACTCACAAATCTCAGCTGACATACTTGAGAGAGGTTCTGAATTGGTTCCAATTTGTACCATGTTAGAAGATTAGCCTCAGGAAATGTGAGACCATACCAAGTAGGCGAGGTGGATAACTTTGACACCCTTTCACAGATATAAAGCTTTAAGGCAGGTGTTCTACCTACTACTTACCTTGGGTTTGCCGTCGGGTGCTTCAAACAAGGATCTTGCAATGTGGAATTCGGTGATTGAAAGAGTTGACAAGAGAATAGCAGGTTACCAAAAGAGGTACTTGTTAATAGGGGAAAGGAAGTACTCATCAAGAGTACACTTTCAAGCTTTCCTTTATATTACATGTCACTAAATGCAGGCACCGAAGGGGAGCCTTGGCGTAACTGATAAAGTTGCTGCCATGTGACCGGGAGGTCACGGGTTCGAGCCGTGGAAACAACCTCTTGCAGAAATGCAGGGTAAGGCTGTGTAAGATAGACCCTTGTGGTCCTGCCCTTCCCCGGACCCCGCGCATAGCGGGAGCTTAGTGCACCGGGCTGCCCTTTTTTATTTTTACTAAATGCAGGCACATGTGATTGTAACGGACAAACAAGAGAGACTTCAAAGGAACATCCTTTGGGACGCTGCTGATGGTTCCATGGCATGGGATGTTGTGCCTCTAGCCCTCATGTGGGTAATTTGGAATGGAAGAATAGGAGAACATTGGAAGGGATCGAAAATGGCATTGTACAATTGAGGAATAACCTCGTGTTTTTAATTTCTTTTTGGTGCACCCACGAGGTTCCCACTTGTATAGATGATTGGGTTCTTTTGTGGAGAATCATGTGTTGGTGTAGATTCTCTATTTTTTGGAGTACTTCTTGTATACTTGAGCTGTTTTACTCCCACAATCAATAAAATTACTTTACCTTATCAAACTGGAGTTGGCAAATTGCTTGGAAAAGAGGCATAGTTGTTATTAAAAAAACAAAAAAGAATTTCACACTTTATTTCACCAGTATACTAACTATTGTAGATTTTTCTTCAACCTGATCCCAAAGTATCACCTAGTTATTGATGAAGATTTTGTCTACTATCTATTGGACGCTAAAGGAACTCAAAAGGGGAAATCCACTTAGCATTCTGTTCTATACACAAGGGATAGAGTACAGACTAACACAGTCAACAAAACATTAGATACTTGGCTACCTGATTCATGTCAATTGTTTGCACTGCATTTCCACGTGTAAAGATAATTGCATGATTTTGATTTTCCGGTTTTCCTTCACCAAGTTTAGGATTCCCAGGCAGTTTAATTGAGTAGATTTCCTGCAATCATGTAGAGAAAAAAGCACGTAGAAGCATTACTATTTTGAATCTACAAGGCAAAAAGTTAAATCGCTGAAAATGATATCTTATCAATATAAATTCAGTATATTATATTACTCTGGATAAGATTGCTACAGAAAAAGAGGATAACACCAATCAGAAAATAGCACCTCTCATCTTACTTTTGTTGTGTTATTACCAGAAATAATAGAGACAGGTAACAGCTGTAGCACATTCTTACAATGCCCCTGGGCCTAACTGGTAAAGGAATACTTACTAAAGGCAGAATACCGAATTCCCACCCACCCACAAAAAAAAAAAAAAAAAAAAAAAATCCTTGGCAGGGATTATTAGTTGCACACCTAAACTATGAGGAGTCCTACTTACACCCTGCACTTGGATATTTGATAGCTTTTAGCCCCTAAACTTGGAACTGATTATAAGTTGCACATCTAAACTATGAGGAGTTCTAACTACCCGCCCTACCTTGGATATTTGATAGCCCTTACCCCCGGGATGATCTCCGCACAAGGAAGTGACATACATGCGCCTGCTACGTGGGTTTTGTTGTCTACGTGGCATCTTTTTAAATAAAATATAATATTTTACCTTTTTAAATTCATTAATTTTATTAGATCATTTTTTCCGGGTCAAATTAGTAGAAAGCTTAGCTGAACTCCATTATTTTGGCAAAACTTTTTTTATTTGGCTAAGAAAAATGGAGCTCTAGCCAAGTTATTTTTACTGATTTGGCCCAAAAAAAGGCATTTGAAATAAATAGTCATTGCATCTAAAGAAAAAAAATATACACAACTGGTACGCCATTATTTTTGCTAAAAGCTAATTTTATTTGGCTAAAATGATGGAGTTCTAGCCAAGTTTTTTACAAATTTGGCTGGAAAATGAAAAAATACACAGTTCGAACAAATAGACAATTGCATCTACAGAAGAAACTACAAAAATGCAAATTTCCGGTAAAATTGCATTGTATATGATTATGTGGCAATTAACTGTTGAAAGTATCCCAACAGGAAGTTGAGTTTTCGATTTTCTTCACTCCCGTCTGCCTAAAAAAGAGTGTATCCACTCTCTTTGCCATGCCAGCATCTAGGGGGTAAAGGCAATGAAATAACCAAGCCGAAGGGGGTAACTAAGACTACAAATAGTTTAGCTGTGCAACTAATAATACGAGACAAGTTTAAGAGGCTTTTAGGTATTCTGCATTACTAAACATCATAGACCACTTGGTCCAAAAGATATAACATTATGACTTACTTTTATGTTTGAGCGCCAATGACCATGCCAGCAAATCCATTTTGCGTCGCTTCTCCCACTAACGCAGACTTGTTTGGTTTAGGGTCCAAAATCACCGGTAAAGAAGCAATATCCTTGTGGTAGGTCCAGAAGCTGATGAAAGACTCTAGAGGTAAGCTTATGTGGTGTCTACAGGCAACTACCATTTAATAGCATGAACATCCAATTAGCTCCCACTTACTTGCTCATCGCTTCCAACTAGCTCCTACTTTTGTTACCATTTGGAACAACTTGAGTCCAAAAGGTACAGGGCAATACTTAAAGAACTTTTTTTTCATTAGTAAGACAATACTTTAAGAGCTTGACAGACAAGCTGGGATTTACTCCATTTAGGGTCATGCAAGTTGCAATAAGAAAAGATATCTAGCACTAATTAACCCCAGGTCCCAACTTACAATACCATTTTCTTTTCTTTTCCCGATAGAAGTGGGAATTCTTTGGTTTGAGCTGCAACAACATAGAACCAGTATTCGTGTTGTTTCCCCATGTTGATGTTTAACAGCATTATCACAAACTAGGGTAATTGCAAACATAGCAAAAGCTGAACACGAAAAGAACTCACTAATCAACACCACCAAAAGCAGACCCAGCTTCGTTCACATTATGCTTCACTCTCTAAAGAGCTGATGTGACCATTTATTAATTTTCTGAAATTCAAATCACAGATAGTTGCATATTTGTGTACTATTACGCATATTACATGCTAAAACAACAACAGTAACAACAACAACAATAACAATAACAGCAACAACAACAAAAATACTACTACTACTACTATTACATGCTAAAACACAAACAACAACAACAACAACAACAAAACAACAACAACAACAACAATAACTACTACTACTACTACTGCTACAACCACCACCAAACAAGTGGGGGTCCGCTATATAAATTCTCATTGACCATGTTTCTTCATTTAAGCTCTACCCATAATGCTAAAACACATAGAACGAATTTAAATTAAAGAGTAAATAGAACAAGTGTAATGGAAATGACATGGACGCCTTAAGCAGATTTTAGAGTAGAAAAAGAATGACACCTTATCTTTGCCGTTGATGTCAGCCTTTACAAGCTTTGAGATGTATT